CTACCCCAGGCCTTCTGTCCCCCCACTACTCCAGGCCTTCTATCCCCCCCACTGCCCCAGGCCTTCTGCCCTCTTTACTGCCACAAGTCCTTCTGTCTGCCCCCTCCTTACTGCCCCAGATATTCTGTACTCTCCCTTACTGCCCCAGGCATTCTGTAACCGCCCCGTCCAGCCACAAGTCCTTCTGTCACCCCCACACACCTTACTGCCACATCTCACTCTACCCCGCGGGCTCCGTCCCCCACTCCCAACTGCCCTCTGGTCTCCCTGGCTCGCGTCTCTTCCCAGTAGGTTGAGCCCTACCATCCCTGCACGCCCCACCCAGCCCCTCCAGCCCTTCCCCGGTGGTAACCCTAGTCTAGTCCTTCTCCCGTCGGTTCACAGCCCCCACCACCCCGTTCTCCCCAGTCCCCTTGCGCCCCCTGCAGGCCGGTCCCGTGAAGCCCCGCTTGGAGTCGGTACCCAGCCCTGGCCAGGCTCGCTCTCATCCCCGCCCGGCTTCTCTCCACAGCCGCCGAGGCGCTGCTGCTCCCGGGAAACGACACGCGCGTGGACCTCGCGGCCTCCGGCGCCCCGTGCGGGCGGGACTCGCAGCCCTGGCAGGTCTCCCTCTTCCATAACCTGCAGTTCCAATGCGCAGGCGTCCTCGTGGACCCGAGCTGGGTGCTCACGGCCGCCCACTGCTGGAGGAAGAAGTAAGGGGCACGGGCGAGAGGATGCCACCGGGAACCTGGAGGATGGGGCCCGGGGGGCTCCCGGCGCAGGGTCAGGCTGGAGCTGGCGGCTCCAGTACGGCCGTGCTGGGCCTCCGGGGCCCATCATTTGGTCCATCTGATCAGAGTCGTACGAAACAGATCTCAGGGGTCCTCGCGGTGAGGATTTAGACTAAAAGAAAATGCTTTCCTTGTGAGCCACCAGGGAGGGAAGACCAGGTGATAGGGAGGAAGGGAGGGATGGGCAGACCCGGATCCAGGTCCAGCCCCCTCCCTCAGACCCAGGGGTCCAGGCTCCAGCCTCCTCCCTCAGACCCAGGGTCGAGTCCCCAGCCTCCTCCTTCAGACCCAGGAGTCCATATACCATCTTCTTCCCTCAGACCCAAAAGACAAGGTCCTAGCATCCTCCCCCCAGGGCCCTCTGACATCAGGAGCCGCACTCCACTGTCCAACCGTCTTACCCAGGGAATGGCATCCAGGCAGTCTCCGCGAAGGCTTTGCCCCCATCTGACTCTTCTTCCTTAGGCCACTGAGGGCTCGGGTTGGGGACGACCACCTGCTGCTTTTCCAGAAGGAGCAGCTGCGCTCCACGAATCCGCCGGTTTTCCACCCCAAGTACCAGCCTTGCTCAGGCCCCATGCTGCCGCACCGCTCTGACGAACACGACCTCATGCTCCTGAAGTTGAGCAGACCCGTGATGCAGACGCCCAGCGTGCACCCCCTGCAGCTGCCCTTCCGGTGCACCCAGGCTGGCCAGCAGTGCCAGGTGGCCGGCTGGGGGACCACCGCCAACAGAAGAGGCAAGAGCCAGGCTCCAAGCTGCGCCTCAGGGAGGGGACTGGTGTCTGGGTCGCAGACTGGGGCCTGGACCCCTGGGTCTGAGGAAGGAGGCTGGAGTGTGGACCCCAGGGTCTGAGGGAGGAGACTGGAGTGTGGACCTCTGGGTCTGAAGGGGGAGGTTGGAGTGTGGACCTCTGGGTCTGAGGGAGGAAGCTGGGGCCTGGAGCCCTGAGCCTAGGGGAGGAGGATGACTGCTCCCCAACCCTATGTGACGGTGCCTGCTCTTCTCAGTGAAATACAACAGGAGCTTAAGCTGCTCCAGGGTCACTCTCCTCAGCCAGAAGCAGTGTGAGGTCTTCTACCCTGGTGTGATCACCAATAACATGATTTGTGCCTCCGGGCTGGACAGAAACCAGGACTCTTGCCAGGTAAGGACAGGCCAGGAAGAATGTCTGCCTCCTGGGCAGGAAGGAACCCCTAGGGAAAAAGCTAGCTCTGCCTTCCCCTCCTTCCCCCTCCCTAACCCTCCACCCCCTTTTCAACCTCCTCCCCCTTCCTTGTTGGGCCCTTCACTCCCACGAGCCTTGGTCCCAACTACAAACCTACCACATCTCCACTGTCACCTCCCAATCTGAACCTCAACACTACTGTTCACCTCCACCCACACCTCCTTGGACTCCAACCCTGTATCTACTTCCAGCCCAACTCAGCTCCCTCCCTGTGCCAACCCATGACAGCTCTCACATTGATGGTCTATTCTTCCTCCTACCCTCAGAGTGACTCCGGTGGCCCCCTGGTATGTGATGACACCCTGCATGGCATCCTTTCATGGGGTGTTTACCCCTGTGGTGCTGCCCAACACCCAGCTGTCTACACCCAGATCTGCAAATATGTCCCCTGGATCTGGAGGGTCATTGGCCACAAGTGAGCAGTCTTCTACACGCTTCCTCTCTGCTCTGTCCACCTGCTGACCTTCCTCCTCAGTCACCCCAAAACTCTTATACCCACCCAGACCTCTGTACATGGACTCTCTTCCCTCACCCATGCCCACTCTTAGTCTTTGCTCACAAGTGCAGAAAATAGTGGCTGAAGAAAGTTCTAGAACATCAAGGAAGCTGACAATTCCCCAGTCTCTGAGAGAAGTTATCAGAGGCACCCAACATGGCTGCCTCTACATCCAACATGACTGTCTCTACAATCCAACATGGTTTCCTCTATATCCATGGCTGCCTCTACATCCAACATGGCTGCCTCCATATCCAAAATGGATTCCTCTACCTCCCCTTGCTGTGTGACATGAGGCAAGCCTAGTACCCTTTCTGAGCCATGGTTTTCTCATCTGAAGAATGGGGACAATGACGTGTCTCACTCTTAGGTTGTATGGAGACCAAGATGGGATGTGTGTAAATCTTTATGGTGATTGTCATGGAAATGTGAACATGAAAAGTGGTGAGCACTGATTAAACTCCACCTGATCTGACCCAGAGTGTGTGCCTCTCTATCTAGGATGGGATGGGGAGGGGAGAGAGGGGCCATCCTCAGGCACGCAGTAGGGAAGCAGCAGTTACCATCCACAGCACCCTCAGGAGTCCCTTTGACCTTTTTGGACCTACCTCGATTCAGATAAAACCGGATCCTTGGTCTCCATGTGTAAAAGAGTTTCAGGTCAAGTCAGTATGAAAGGGGGAAGCATTTAACTTTTATGTTGTTGTTCTAACTTGGGTTTTCTTTAAAATATTTTTATTATTTTGTGTGTATGAGTGTATTGCTTGCATGTAAGTAGTGCACCCATGTCGTGCAGTACCCGAGGAGGTCAGAAGACGGCATTAGATCCCATGGAACTGGAGTTATGAATGGTTGTAAGCTACCATGTGGGTGCTGGAATTGAACCCAGATCCTTTGCAAGAGCAGCCAGTGCTCTTAACCACTAAGCCATCTCTCCAGCCCAAGTTTATTTTTACATTTTTTTTCTGTTTTGTATGTATGTATGTATGTATGTATGTATGTATGTATGTATGTATTTGGGAGGCATACCATGCATGTATGTGGAGGCCAGAGAACAATTTGTGGAGTGGGTTCTCTCCTTCTATCATGTGGGTCCTAGGGATCAAACTCAGAGTGGCAAGTGTCTTTACCTGCTGAGCTATGTCACCAGCACATATTAATTATTTTTTAAAGTAATTCATTTACTTGAGTATGTATGTGTGGGTGAAAGTGTGGAGGTCAGAGGATAGCCTAAGGGAGTCGGTTCTCTTGTTCTACCATGTGGGTTCCAGAGATCGAGCTCAGGATGTCAGGCTTGGTGGCAAGTACCTTTACCTGCTGAGCCATCTCACTGGCTGAAGTTAAGACATTTTTGACAGATTTTAAGCATGAGGGTTAAGAGAAAGTGAGGCCTTTGGAAAGAAACTTGACACACATAAGAGCATGGGTATGGAATTCTTTTTTTATTATGGCATTTATGTACTTATTTGTATATGTATGCATGCACATTCATGCTATGGGGTGTGTGTGTGTGTGTGTGTGTGTGTGTGTGTGTGTGTGTGTGTGTGTGTAGGTCAGGGGATGACATATGAGAGTCAGTTCTCTCCTTTCACAGTGTGGGCCCCAGACTGAGCTTGGTTCATCAGGCTTGGCAACAAGCACCTTTACCCACTGAGCCATCTCTTTAACCCCAAGGGTGTGGGCTACTCTAAGAAGACTCCCAGTCATTGCTTTTCAGAAGTTAACATTATTTCTTCAAAGGGTTATTAAGGAATCTAAATGAGATCAGAGGGCGAATGGTGCTGGATGGGGTTACAATGAATAAGCTCAAACTCTAGATCTTGGGGGTACAGGAACTTATGATGTTTTCACTGTAGATAAGGTTAATAGTCTTGCTTATGAGATTCCCACAAAATACCCATTTTAAAACAATTCTATGGCATAAATATAATTTTACTATCTTTTTTTCATTCATTTTAATTGAATTTTTGCAAACTTCATGCAATATATTTTGATCATATTTATATCCCCTCCCATATCTGTACCCCCTTACTGCCCCCACCACCAAATTTCTGTACTCTAATATATATAGTGTATTAAGGTCTATAGAGTCAGGTTTGTGCCCCCAAATGCCCATTGGTGTGGGTTCATCCACTGAAGCCTGGTCAAACTAAGAGTCTCACTGTTTTGTTTTTTAGAAAGGCTCTCCCTGTAGCCCCAGCAGGCCTCGTAGACCAAGCTAGCCTCCATCTCACAGAGATTCCAACCTCCATTTCCCCATCTCTGCCTCCCAGGTGCTAGGATTAAAGGCACGCACCACCATACCTGGCTAAGAATCTCACTCTTAAATGAGATTGACTCTCCCCTTCCCAACCACCAACAATTGCCAGTAGTTCCTGAGGTAGGGTTGGGATTTCTTACCCACTTCTTGTCTATATTGGGATTTTGTCTGCCTTGCACTTTTGTGGGACTTTTGCATCTGTCACCATTGCTGTGAGTTCGTATGAATAAACTCTGTTTTCCACCACCTCTGGCTCTTACAATCTTTCTGCCTCCTCTTCCACAATGATCCCTGAGCCTTGGGAGGCAGAAGGTTGATACAGGCCTCCTATTCAGGCATACGCACTCTGCAGACTCTTGTTCTCTGCACATTGGCCAGTTGTAGTTCTTGGTGTTAATCACCATCTGCTGCATAAGGAGGTGTCTCTGCTGAGACTTGGGAGATGCACTGATCAAGACAAGGGCTGGGAAAGCTCCAAGATCTGGGGGTGCACAGGAGTCCTAACAGAACAGAGCAGCATTCTTTTTTAAACTATTTATTTTTACTGTATGTGCATGAACATTTTGCTTGCATGTACATAATTATACCACCTGTATGCAATGCCTGCAGAGGCCAGCAGAGGGTTTCAGATCCCATGGAACTGGAGTTGTGGAAGGTTGTTAGCTGTGTGGGTGCTGGGATCCGAACCTAGGTCCTCTGCAAGAGCAGCCAGTGCTCTAATCACTGAGCCATCTCTCCTGCCCCCTTAGCATTCTTATAGGAAAACATTTTTACATAAAAGAAATATTTTGCTGGCATGATGGCTGGACAGGTAAAGTTATTTGCTGCTGTGAAGGAAAGTTTCCAGAAAAATCCTGCATCTTGAACTGAACTTCCTGCAAGACTGGTCAACTGTTTAACAATTTAATGACTGTGGCATGCTGGACAGGTAAAGTTATTTGCTGCTGTGAAGGAAAGTTTCCAGAAAAATCCTGCATCTTGAACTGAACTTCCTGCAAGACTGGTCAACTGTTTAACAATTTAATGACTGTGGTGAGTTTGAAATGTTGCTGATCCAGAGCTTATTTACAATGTACCCACATGGTGACTAACAACAACCATGTTCCATCCAGTTCCAGGGGATTTGACATCCTCTTCTGACTTCCTTGGGTATTGCACAACATAGGTGCACTTATACACATGCAAGCAATACACTCATACACATAAAAATAATAAATAAATTTTTTTCTAAAACTTCATGAAACTGCTTCCACGTTGGAACATGGAATTTGGGGTAATCTGAATCTGTATTCCAGGACCATTGTCACTCATATTTGGCTCCAGAATAAACTATCTTTTATCCCCTTTGAGGTGAGAATTGTGCTTTTGCGTTGAGACACTGCCAAGGCTGAGGACCCGAGCTTGATCCCTGGGACCCACATTGTGGAAGGAGAAAGCTGACTCCTGAAAGTTGTTCTCTGATTTCCACACATTCACAAAATAAATAAATGTAAAAAATATTAGAAAGGAAGAGAGAGAGAGAGAGAGAGAGAGAGAGAGAGAGGGAGGGAAGGAAAGAGAGGGAGAGAGGGAAGGAGGGAGGGAGATTTCCTCCCATCTGTTATGGCAAATACTACCAACCATCTTAACCCTTGACTCCCAGAGGTGGGAGACCTTCAAGACCTTCAGCTACACTGTGAAGTCAGGGGCTCCTCTCCCATAATTTCCTTTCTTTCTATTCCTTCACGTACAGTCCCTGTCCCTAGGGCTGATGGAGAATTGGATTCCCCACTCTCCCAAGCTTCTGGAAGTCTCTTTTAACCACTTCCTCTTTCCCTCGCACTAGGTTCTGAAAGGGGTCCCATCCAACATCAGTTCTTCCAGTCTTAGCCTGAACCAGCTTGACGTTGGGTCACCTGACAACTTCCCAGCCTGGAAGTGGGGGTTGTAACTTAAGGGCCCCAGCCGGGTATCTGTGCTTGCCTCCTGTGCCCACCTCCAGATCTAGGGCAGTAAGTCTCCATTGCTAAACTCACCAATCAGTCATCCTGTGGGGTTTAGAGGGAGAGGGTTTCTGCTTTACTTTGTCTGTTTTTAATTAAATTATTTCTAAAAATTGTTATTATTTATCATTTTTATTTTATGTGTATGAGTGCATTGCCTGCATGTGTGTAAGTGCACTCTCATTGTGAAATGTCCTTGGAGGTCAGAAGAGGGAGTCGGATCCCCTGAAACTGGAGTTATGGACAGTTGTTAGCCACTATGTGGGCACTGGGATTCAAACCCGGGTCCCCTGCAAGAGCAGTCAGTGCTGTAATAGCTGAGCCATCTCTCCAGCTCTAGTTTAATTATCTTTGAGATTATTTATTTATTTATTATTTATTTAGTATGAGTGTTTTGCCTGCATGTATATAAGTGTACCTGTGCATGCAATGCCCATGGAGGCCAGAAGAGGATATCAGACCTAGTGGAAATGGAGTTACAGATGGCTGTTAGCTGTCACGTGGATGCTGGGAATCGAACCCAGCTCCTCTGCAAGAGCATCCAGTGCTTTTAACTGCTGAGCCATCTCTCCAGTTCCTAGCTTTTTCTTTTTTTCCCCGAATATTTAAAAAACAGTTTTTAATTTCTGAAGTTAAATAAAGCAAAAAAGAATAGTGCTAAGCCTCACTTGAGCATGCTAAGTGGGAATTGCTCGTGCAAGCCTAGTTCACACACGGAAGTGCCACATCTTCTCAAATGCATATATTTTAATAAAGAACAGAATAATGAAAAATATTTTAAAGAAGCATTTTAAACAGGTGTATAATGTGTGTTTTAAGATAAATATTAAAATAAAATCAGAAGGGCAACTTCCACTTCTGAAAGTTCTGAAAGTTTTCATACTGCACGCACACACACACATATGTGTATATATATATATATATATTTACACCAACACTTTTGTCTCTTTTTAAATATTTTATTTTTTATGTGTATGAATGTATTGCCTGCATGTATGCAGATGCATCCATGTCATGCAATGCCCAAAAAGGTCAGAAGAGGGCATTGGATCTCCTAGCTCTGGAGTTAGGACAGTTAGTCTCCATGTGGGTGCTAGGAATCGAACTTGGGTCCTCTACAAGAGCAGCAAGTGCTCTTAACCACTGAACCACCTCTCCAGCCCCAACTTTTGTCCCTTTAATATGCAAACATTCATCATTATCACCACTGACAAGATTTTTCTGTACAATAACATACTATACATATGTATAGCCTCAAACAATAGGCTATACCAAATAATCTAAGCATGTGCTAGACTATAGTGTGAATACACTCTGTGGTCCTCACACAATATGGCACAGCCTAACCACGTACATCAACAAGTAGCTTGTCGTCCCCCTGCCCCATTTTTGAGATAGGGTCTCCCTATGTGGCCCTGGCTGTCCTGGAACTCAAATATCCACCTGCTTCTGCTGCTAAGTGTCCTAGCTTTGAGGGTTTTAGTCTCTGAAATGGTCTGTGAATAAATATCTCTATTATGGAAGAGGTACAGATTTATACAGATCCAGATCATGTTGAGCATCTTGACTCAACCTAGACTTTGGAACTCAAACACAGAAATCTCAGCAAGATGGGCATTTTGTTTGGGGTCTGGATGGATGAATAAGAGTTTATCAGGAAAAGGATATAGAAAAAGGCTTATTCAGTTAGCACGCTTTCCCCTTTCAAACACCGATTAATTGAGCATCTGTTACAGGCCAGGCCCAATGCAGGAAGGATGGAAAAAAACAGAAGACAGAAAGATCCCCATCACCAGCAGAGCCCACAGAAAGTTGGTGTCCAAGGTCAGAGCACAGAGTCAGACCTACAGCTGCCTTCTAACGACTCTGTCCCACCCCACACTCTTAGCACATCCAGGAAATGTCAGTACCTTGTATCATGAGAGGATCAGCTGCAAAGTAGGCTGGGCCTTTCAGGCCAGCCATGTGTTTAAGGTAACTCACCCATGTCCTGTGCCAGGCCCTGGAGATGACTCTAGCAAGCCCTACCCACAGGAAGCTATACATTAGGTCTGCAAGATGGGCAAGCTTTCCATTCCTGTCATTCAAATCTTTGTGAGACCGTCACCTCCTGCAAGAGGCCTTCCTGGATTGCCTTAGCCAACGTGTCTCCTGTTGGTCACCAACTTCAACTGCGTAGTGCGTTTCCTTCCTAGCATCACACTGGCTTTAATCTCCCCTTTCTGAAACAGAGACATCTGCTGGATTACACTCCTGAGCGTTAAATGAGATAGTGCTGTTAAACAGGCTGTTTATTTAAAGTGCTAGACTCAGAGAAAACAGTCAATAAAGCTAACTAAAGGGCCAGTGAGATGGCTCAGTGTTAAAGGTGGTTGATGCCAAGCCTGATGACCTGAGTTCAATTCCCAGGACCCACATGGTCAAGAACCTACTCCTGCAAGTTGTCCTCTGACCTCCATACATAAGCTGTAACACACCCTCATGAAATGAATAGATGTAGTATTTAAAAGGTAGCTATTAGGGACTACAGAGATGGACCAGCAGTTAAAAGCACTTGCTGGTCTATCATGAAGTCCATAGTTTGGATCCCAGCACCAGCATCAGACAGTTCACAAACACCTGTAACTCCACCTCCAAGAGATCTGATGTGGTTTCTATCCCCCACGGGTACTGATACACATCCATGGGCATACACTCACACAGACACAGACACACACATAAAATAATAAACAAAAGAGGGGCTGGAGAGATGGCTCAATGGTTAAGAGCACTTGCTATTTTAACAGAGGACCTGGGTTCAGTTCCCAGCATCCACATGCAGCTAACAACCATCTGTAACTCCAGTTCCACAGGATCCGACACCATCCTCTGTCCTCCAAGGGCACTGCATGACACAGGTGCACTTACATACAAGCAGGCATAACACTTGCACACATAAAAATAAATAGATAAATAAAAATTTAAAAATTTAAATTTAAAAGTAGTTATTAAAATGTAATAAACCAAAGGTTTATTAACTGGGTGTGGTGGCGCACACCTTTATTCCCAGCACTCAGGAGGCAGAGGTAAGGGGATCTCTGTGAAATTGAGGCCAGCCTGATCTACATAGCAAGTTTCAGACCAACTGGGTCCACAGGGAGATGGTCTCAAAAAAGAAAAACAAAAAAGATTTATCTTATTTTTATTTAAATGTATAGTGTCTGTGTGTGGATATGTACATGCAGTACCTGTGGAGGCCAGAAGAGGGTGTTGGATCCCCTGGAACTGGAGTTACAGATGGTTGTTAGCTGCCATGTGGATGCTGGGAACTGAACCCGGGTCCTCTGTTAAAACAGCAAGTGCTCTTAACCACTGAGCCACCTCTCCAGCCCCTATTCTGTTTATTTTATGTGTGTGTATGTCTGTGTCTGAGTATATGCCCATGTATGTGTATGAGTACCCATGGTTACAGATGGTTGTTAGCCACCATGTGGGTGCTGGGAACTGAACTTGACCCCAGGTCCTCTGCAAGAGCAGCCAGTGGTCTTAACTGCTGAGCCATCTCTCCAGCCCCTACACTAAGTGCTTTAAGATTACATTTAAAAATCTATTATTAGATTTTTTTAACACTTAAAAAAATTATTTTATGTATATGAGTCTTTGCCTGTGTGTATGTAAGTGCATAGTGTGCATGCCCAGTGTCTGCAGAAGCCAAAAGAAGGCAATGCAGGTGCTGGGAACTGAACTTGAACCCAGGTCCTCTCTAAGAGCAGCCAGCACTCTTGACTGCTAAGCCATCTCTCCAGCCCTTTTATTAGATCTTTTGAGACAGGGTCTCACTGTGTAACCCTGATTGGCCTGGAATTTGATATGTAGCCTAGGGTGGCCTTGAACTCACATAGATTCACCTGCCTCTGCCTCCTGAGTGCTGGGATTAAAGGCATGTGCCAACATGTCCAGTCTTATTATTTTATTACATTTTTTAATTTTGTGTGCATGTGCATGGTGGAGGGCCACAGAGAGCATATGGGGGTCAGAGGACAACTTGCAAGAACCAGTTCTCTCTTTCCAACATGTGGGTCCTGGGGATTGAGTTCATGCCATCAGGCTTGGCAGCAAGTGCCTTTACCCATGAAGCTGTCCACCTTATTTACTTTTTATTTATTATGATTTATTTATTCATTAATTCATTCATTTATTCATTTATTTGAGACAGGTCTCGCTATGGAGCCCTGGATGGCCTGGAACTCACTCTGTAGACCAGGCTGGCATCAAATTCAGAGATCCAGCTGCCTCTTCCTCACGTGTGCTGGGATTAAAAGGCTTGTGGCACTGTGCCCACCCCATCCACTGAATCTGAAGCTCATCTATAGCTAGATCAGCTGGTCACTGAGCCCCCACCATCTGACTCCCCAGAGCTGGGATTACAAGTGCATGTACCACTGTGCCTGACTTTTTAAAAATTCCTTCATTTATTTCTTTTTATTTTATGTGTATGAGCATTTTACCTGCATGTGTGTAAGTGCACCATGTGCATGCAATGCCCACAGGGGTCAGAAGAGGGCGTCGGATCCCCTGGAACTGGAGTTAAGGATAGTTGTGAGCTGCCATGTGGGTGCTGGGAACTGAACCTGGGTCCTCTGCCAGAGCAGCCAGTGCTCTTAATCACTGAGACAATTCTCCAGCTACCCACCCCCGCCACCTCTTTAAAACTTGAGTGCAGGGATTGAACTTTACCTACAAAGCCATCTCCCCAGACCAAGTCTAGGGCACTCCTCTAAGACTTCCAATGTGTTAAAGAGTCTGACCCCTCCCTGCACTCTGCCACTGAACAACCTTGGCCACTGAGAAAGGCCTGAGGACTGGCTCCAATTCAGGTATCTAATAGATGCCACAGAACCATCGGTGGGTATCTATTTATTGGTGGGTACAGATGGGTCATCCACCAGGCCCACACTTCCCACCAGGACACCACAGAACAGGAATGTTCTGGAAGCCAATCACAGCTTGATTCTCAGGGCTGTGGGAGGAGCTGGTGTGTGCTCCTATCAGCCTTGGCCTGGAGAAGTCACAGAAGGCCTCTCTGAGGAGGGGCATTTAGGTTGGACTTTGAAGGATGAGTAAGAATTGGTCAGGAAAAGAAGGACACGCACAAAGACATTCATTCACGCAATTAGCATCTTTGGAGGAGTCAGGATAGTCCTGCCCCAGAACAGGGTGATGCTGGGGACACTGGGGTGAGTCAGACCAGGGGCGGGGCTCTCCCGGAGGGGGTTCTCTACCTGGTGAGAGAGAGGCAGGAAAGATGTTGAGATAATAGAGGGGGTTGTGGAGATGGGTAAATAAAATATAAAAATACATTAAGTGTGAGAGGTTGGGGTAAGCAGGTGGGAATGACCTGGTCTGGGCTCCAGGCAAGATGAACATCTGAGTTCTTTGGGATCTTGGGGCTGTGAGAAGAGGACAGGTTCTAACAAGAGTAGGTTAATCCAGCTGGGACTAGATTTCTCAAGATCATACAAGGCCTGTGTGCTTGAGGGAAGGTGCCCAGATCCAGGGCAGGTTTGGGGAAGTGTACAGCTTGCTGTCTTTGTGATCTATCTCTCTCTCTCCCCTCCCTCCCTCCCTCTCCTCTCTGATATTCTCCCTCTCCTCCCTCTCCTCTCCCCCCCCCCCTCCTTTTCTTCCCCTTCCTCCTCTTCCTCCTCCTCTAGTCCACAGAAGATTCTGGGCCTAGATCTTGCAGCTTCAGGTCATGGGACACAGCACCTCCCACAAGGCCCCAACTGAGCTTTTGCACATCCCAGCACCCCCTGCCCCGCCTCCATTTACCCCATTCCCCTGGATGGAGAGTCCCCCTGCACCCACCTCCCCTCCAGAGGTCCCCACGGTTGGCAGGGCTTCCTCATCCCCCGGGGACATTTCCTAACTCTGATTAATCACAGGGGCGGCCCCTGGGAGGAGGAAGGAAGATCCCTATGGCTTACCATAAAGAAGGCCTGTGGCCAACGGCAGAGGACCAGGCGCCCCAGGCCATGAAGCTCCCTCTGTCCTTGATGCTGCTGTCCCTGTTGGCAGGTGAGCGGCCGAGCCCCGAGCCCCTCCACCCTCACCCTCCCCTGGCTCCTCTGCCCTCTGGGTTCCCCAGCATCCTCCCTGCGCCCTCCCCAGCCTGCTGTCACTGACCCCTGTGGCCTCCACTCCACCCCAGGGCACAGCGAGGCCGACACCCGCGCCATCGGAGCCAGGGAATGCCCGCGCCACTCACAGCCCTGGCAGGCCGGCCTATTCTACCTGACCCGGCCCCTGTGCGGAGCCACGCTAGTCAGTGATCGCTGGCTACTTACCGCTGCCCACTGCCGCAAGTCGTGAGTGTCCAGGCTGAACAGACCGGGAAACGGGAGCAGAGGGAGGGCTGGGGTGCTCCAGGCGGCTGTGCAAAGCCCGCTCGGCCGACCCGGGGTCCTGGCTCTTGGAAGCCTGCTCTGCTCAGAGACTTGCTTCTAAGATGCTTAAGAGTCAAAGCTCAGGCTCTGAAAACTCCTAGACACAAACTCAGAAATTCAGAGTCTTAAAACCCTAAAATTTTGGAGCTGTGGAATTCTAGAATACAGGACCGTGGTGCTCCACCACCACCAGTTCAAGGTCAACTTCGGGTTAATAAAGAGTTCCAGACCAGCCTGGGGATACTCCAGACCCTGCCTGGAGAAAAGAAAAAAGAGAAAGGGGAGGGAGGAAGGAAAGCAAAGAGAGATGGAGGGAGAGGAAGGAGGAAGGGGGGGAAGAGAGAGGGAGAGAGAGAGAGAGAGAGAGAGAGAGAGAGAGAGAGAGAGAGAGAGGAGGGGAAAGAAAAGGGGAAAATTCTAAAATCCTAGATTCAGAAACTATTAGGTTATTTATTTATTTATTTACTTACTTACTTACTTATTTTGGTCTTTTTGAGACAGAGTCTCTCTGTAGCCCCAGCTGTCCTGGAACTCACTATGTAGACCAGGCTGGCCTTGAACTCACAGAGATCTGCCTGCCTCTGCCTTCTGAGTGCTGGGATTACAGGCATGTGCCACCACACCTGACACTATGAAATATAGACTATTTGAAGTTTGGGTTTGTACAGTTCCCCAAATTGAGCTTCTCAGAATCACAGAAGCATGAGTAAATGAGGTGTTGGAGTTTAGAACTCCAGAATCTTGATGCAGGTTGTTCTGGGGTCTTGAACCACGAGAGATGAAGGAGTCCTCTGTACTTTGTCCTTGATCAAGGTCACCCAAGTTGCTCCAATGTTCTTCCCACCAGGAGTTTCCTATCATGCATTGCTCCATGATGTGCCCCTTTTTTATTTTTTTAAAAAATATTTTATTCACTACTTTTATGTGTATGAGTGTATTGCTTTCTGTGTATGTAAATGCACCTGTGTCATGCAATGCACATGACGGTCAGAAGAGGGCATTGGATGCTCTGGAATTGTAGTTGCAGACAGTAATTAGCTGCCATGTGGGTGCTGGGAATCTCATCCTGGTCTTCTGCAAGAGCGGCCAGTGCTCTTAATCCCTGAGCCATCTCTCCAGCCCAGGTGTGCCCTTTTTTAGCCACAGCCTCTACCTCCAGCTGAGAGAGGGATGTTTTGATTTAGCCCCTAAGATAGGAGGAGAGAAAGGAGGAAGACTTGGGGAGGCTAAGTGTAGGCTTCGTCCCCGGGTGTAAGTCCCAGAGGCGGAATTCTCAGTCATTACCCTGGTGCCTCATGTCAGAGGCCAAAGGTTGGAGGACATGTAGATCCTCAGAGTGTTCCCAGCTGCCCACACCACCCGTCTCCTGAACACGTGTGCTAAGGATGCAGCAAGACAGCCCAAGGTTGGCCCTGAGAAGGAAGTGCCTCAGCAACAGAGGGATATGCAAGTTGGAGGAGCTTGAGGCCCCAGACGGCCCCAATTCTCGGGTTTTCCATGTCTGATTCCCCTCCATACACACTTAGAACGGCTCCCACAGAAGCCACCAGACCTGTGGGGGCAGGGGGCAGGGGGCAGGGTTGTCTGTGTGTGGTGGGTGGGGTCCCCATGTATCCACAAGGTTCCAGGGGGCCCAGGTCATCATCGAGGCAAAGTATGCTACAGGGAGTGGAGGCAGAGCCTCAGAGAGGGTGTGTGGCTGTGGAGAGACACACAGCACTGCGGTGTGGGTGGAGTCACCTGTCTCCAGCCTGACCTCTGCAGTCTGTCTTCACAGGCACCTGTGGGTCCGTCTAGGGGAGCACAACATCTGGCAGGTAGAAGGCCCTGAGAAGCTGCTCCTGGCCACGGATTTCTTCCCCCATCCTGGGTTCAATTCAGACCTCACTGCCAATGACCACAACGATGACATCATGCTGATCCGGCTACCCAGGAGGGTCCAGCTGAGTCCTGCTGTGCAGCCCCTCAACCTCAGCCAGAGCCTGCCCACCCCGGGCACCCAATGCCTCATCTCTGGCTGGGGGAGTGTGTCCACCCCCAAGAGTATGGACTTGCCCTTGACTCTCTGTCATCCCTCACCATTTCTCTCCTCCTCCTCCATCCTCTTCCTTCCTCCCTTCTCCTCACCTCCTCTATCTGCTCATCTCCTCCCTCCTCCTCCATCTCTTCCTCTTCTTTCATCTCCTCCTCCCCCTCCTTCTCCTCCTCCTCCTCTTCCTCCTTTTTCTTTTCTTCTCTCTCTCCACCACCCCTGGGGCTTGCTGGCTGCTATCCCAGCTCCAGGTTGGGTGAAACTCTGCCTCAAGGGAATAAGGCAGGGTGACAGCCCTGGGCACCCGACTTTGGCCTCTGCACATGCAGGCACATGTGTGCATCTTTCCCAGTTGTACAGACACACCATGCACACACATATACAGAAGAAGAAAAAAATTCAAAGACTTGGCGACAGGACACTCACACTTCCAAAGGCGAACCCACCAGGTGGGGTCAGTAATAGAGGCCACCCCTCAGAGGGAGCAGCTGAGGCTACCCCCTCCCATCTCTGTGAGTGATCACACATCCCTGAACTGCACTGTCCCCTTGATGTCTCTAGCCCTTCTCTCTGCCTACCTGCATTGCCAGCAGCCTCTAGGGTCACTTCCCACTTACTAGGCAGGTCTCTACCCCTCTCCCTGGTCTCTCTTTTCCCTTTGAGTCACATACACAGCTCTTCCTGTTTCTTTTCCTCTCTTGGCCCTCCTCTCTCTCCTTAGACGTTTGCTCCTCTCCAGACCTATGGGGTCTTTGTGGCCATTTCTTGCTTTCATTTTTTGGCTCTTAGCCCGTGGCTCTGTTGGGAATCCTGGGAAAGGACTTCAGGGGAGATACTGGGAGGGAGCCGCAAGGGGTGTTGGGAGCATTCTTCACCTTCTGCCTCCTGCCCCCACAGTGAAGTACCCGCTCACGCTGCAGTGCGCCAACATCAGTATACTGGACAACAGGCTCTGTCGCCGGGCCTACCCAGGCCACATCTCTGACAAGATGCTGTGTGCCGGCCTATGGGAGGGAGGCCGTGGCTCCTGTCAGGTGTGCTCCGGCGGTGGGGAGGAGGAGGCAGCTTTCTGAGCCTTGTGGGGAGGAGACAGCTGGGACCCCAGGCTCCATCTAGGACCTGAAAAAGGAGGGTCCTGAGGATCCAGGCTGAGTCCTGGGGGATGCTAGAAGCTCAGTTGCTTCTAGAATGGGGTGGAATTTTGAATATTGGGTCGCCAGTGTGTTGGGGGGAAGAAATGGAGGCTTTTGCCGGGAGTATTAGTTCTCACGCATAGACTCGGTTCTCTGCTCTTCTCCCAGGGTGACTCTGGGGGACCTCTGGTGTGCAACGGGACCCTGGCAGGCATAGTGTCTGGAGGGTCTGATCCTTGCTCCAGACCTCAGCGACCTGCTGTCTACACCAGCGTATATCACTACATAGACTGGGTTCAAAAAACCATGGATGATAATTACTGAATCCTCAAGGGAAAGACAGCCCGGAGAGGAAGACGGACAGGAATATACTGCAGGGCTCCACAGCCCGGTGTCCAGGCCCTTGACCTCCAGCCAATAGGCTAAGCTGTAAACACTGAGGTTCCCCCCCCCCCCGCCAGGCCCCGCCCCCCCGGGCCCCCCCCCCCAGCTTCCACCCTCTTTGTTTT